ACCTTTTTCATTGTATTTCATGGTGCTTGAATACAAGCAAAGGTCATACGGAGGCCTTTATTGATAGAGGAAGACCCCTTGGGTGCTTGCTTCCCTTTGCAAAAATTTATACTAAACTCAGGTAGGAGAGCTTCCAAACACTGACAGAATCAAAAAGATCCTAGAGTTATCAAACTCACAACAATTCAGGGATAGGTGATTCAATTAACAACCATAAATTTCCCCCCCATTTGGGGGTCATGCATATGCATTTGACAAACTAAAATAAAATGGCAATACTCCTATCCATTTATACGTGTGGATAAATTATTGATTACATTTATATTCATAGAAAGATTGACTGGCAAGAGTAACTTTCCCTGTTCACATCATCATTATAGCTCACAGAAATGGACATGTATGCATCATCGTAAATAATGTGAAATAAGTCAGGACACAATTTGTAGAACAGAAAAAAGTCTCCATTTTGAAAAAAGTAGCTTCTATTAAAGATAATGATAAATCTTTTTCAATAAGTCTATGAAAATGTCTCTTAGAAAAAAATGTTTACTTTTCAAAACAAAACTTACATAATTCTGTCATGTTTTCAACTGAACAGATAATTAACTACAATAATTAGTTTCCTTGCAAGTATTGGCATGTCTTCAAAAATCTAAATCCATTTGTCTGGATTGAATCAATGGAGATGAAAAGGGCAACTAATGTCTTTTATTGATTGGAAACACATTGGACTTTCAGTACTTACCACAATATAGTACATATGTAAGCCAACAAAGAAATTTTTTGCTCATTGAAATTCAAGTTTTACATAATCATAAATAAATATAAAGTTTGTTAAAGCATATCAGTAAAGCTAAAATCAAAAACACTTACGGATATGAACCCAAAAGATCTCTTTATTTTTTATATAATTGTACAGATATAAAACAAGGGAGATTCATTAAAGCTGCACATGTTTAATTGAGTCGTGCCATGACAAACCAACATAGTGGGTTTGCGACCAGCATGGATCCAGACCAGCCTGCGCATCCACGTAGTCTGATCAGGATCCATGCTGTTCGCTTACAAACCCTATAACAAGAAGAGAAACTGACAGTGAACAGCATGGATCCTGATCAGACTGCGCAGATGCGCATGCGCAGACTGGTCTGGATTCATGCTGGTCGCAAACCCACTATGTTGGTTTTGTCATGGCGCGGCTTAAATGTGCCCATAGGACACTTTAAACCCTCACTTCATTTGCTGTAACAGAGGCATATTTACATTCTTATAAATGCATGATTTTATGAAACTCAAGCTTTATACAAAATTTAATAATGTAATTATAACTTAAAAGTTTCACAAACTCTGGAAACTCTTGTTCTTGATTACACAAGTATTTCATGCCACTGCGACATTGACAAAATGACCTTAAAATCACTAGGGTTTTCCTACAGGACTTGGGCAATGTCCCACATTGTTTCATAAACTGACAGTATCACTGTGACCTTAACCTTTGACCAAATGTCCGCAAAATCAACAGGGGGCAGCTATTGACCATGGCAATGTCCTAACGAAGTTACAAACTTGACCGTACTCCTTATCAAGTGATTGTTACATTGAAACAACAAGAACTTTCCAAACTTTCTGAGACCAACGCTATGATGACCTTCACCTTTGACCTCTCTTGACCTCAAAATTAATAAGGGGTCGTCTTCTAAATAGGTCATTTTAACCCCACCTGGGGCCAAAACCCTATTAATCCAAAAAAATGCCCAAATTATATTAATATCTTTATATAATTTTCTTATACCCCCATTTCAGAAAAACAAGAAAAAATAAAATAACATACAATGAATATTTTAAAAGCATCATATTCCCTAATGGCTGTTTATTTCCACATTGTAACAGTATTGGGGCCCCTGAAAAAATTAGTGACAAATTTCGGGCATGAACCAATTGTAACCTAAAAAAACAAAATCTCATTTTTTTATATGTAACATTTTAAAACCACACATTTGAAACACCATTTCAATTTGGGTAAAATTACATAATATTTTTTAAAAAATGGCTGTACAAATTTAAAATTTTTTTTTATTAAACCCAGGGCTAGCAATTATGCAGTGTTTAAATTTCAAAACAAAAGGGGAATTTCTAAAAATAGACCTTTTTGGCATTATTTTAAAAACTTTTAAGCTTCCATCTGTTAAAAACCCAATGCTCAAAATTTTGGATATAGTTTTTTTAAAAAATTTTGTCAAAGAATGTTTATTAAAAATACTAAAAACTAAATTTAGGCTTACAGCTATTGTTTTATTTTTAAAACATAAAACTTAGAAAATTTCAGAAGAATTTCAGGACACATATGATATATCAAAATAAAACTGTCATTTTCTTTTTGTAATCTGGCATAGTACATATATATATATATGTATCACCACCAGGCTGGGATTAAAATTCAAGGCCAGTTTAATAACCCAAAAGAAATTCCTTCCTAAATGTCTATGAAACAAACACCCACAAAATGACATAAACAAGAAACATCAAACTGCCAAAAACAGACTTGTTAAGTTTCAATATACAATTTGAAAAGTTGTTGACAAACCTCCATGACTAGCTGATGGGCACGTGACACAAGGGTTAAACCATTGCTGTGGTTGAATGTCTCTGAGATATCCTGACCAAACGTGTAACCTGCACCCCTAGGAGAGATACCCCAGCCACCTCTGTCATCTGGATCTGACCAAAGAAGATCACACATTGGTCCCTGAAAACAAGAAAATATTTTTTCTCCCGTTCATTTCCTTGTTTATATATTCTAACATTCAATTCTATTATTACATGTACCATCATCATTTTATCAAAACTGTTTGTCACATTTAAAAAAGAAAAGGCATTTAAGAACACTGTCTTGATCATTAATGACTTTTACAATGAAAACATGTAATATTCTTCTAAGCATTTTTTCTCTGACCACTTCATAGATTGTGCTTCTAAACGTATATAATTTTTCAAATAGAAGGTCAGGCATTTATATGGTAAAATCTATCTTTCTTAGTCCAGCTGCATAAAACAAATAGTTCCTACTTTTTTCTTTATAGAACTCAGATTGTAACACTAACTTGAAACTCTACATTTACAAAACAATCTAGATCATCAGTCAATGAATCTTGAATATATAGCCAAAGACAATATTAAGCCATCACTGAGAAAAGCTGTAAAATAATTGTTACTCATGTGGAACTTCTTGTATTCTATCTAGAGCTCTGATATGATCTAGTGTGTCTATAGAAGGTGACAATCCTCCATGTAAACAGAAAATCTGAAAAAGTTAAGCGTATATACTTTTAAGAATAAGACCCAAGAATTGTCTAACAAACTTGGACACTAGTTGTTTCATTTAGTCGCAGTAGGAATTTCTGAAAATAGTGCCTCAGCTACAAACTTACCTGAAAATCAAAGTTAAAAACATGTATGACCTAAATTGAGTAAAATAGACCATCATGGTAGTAAGTTACCTTAATATACAAAAAAAATGTGACCAGAAATTGTTTACTTGTCTTTAAATTCAAAACTTTAACAAAACGTGTGATTCATGGTAAAAATTCATAATTCACCAACTTGTATAAAGTCTACAACATGGGACATAAGCATATGGTAATTTCGTATCTATTTAAAATCAGTTTACATAAAGAATGCAGAAAACCTGCATCAGAATAAATAACAACACTCATAGATAGTACAAATCTGACTACATGTAAGCTAGAATTGTGCAATTAGTCCCAGTTGATGATTTCATGATGCTGGATTTGGAAACATTTGACTCAAGTATATTTTCTATAAACATATATATGCATAACTAGAAATAAATACATACAAAATAATTCAAGCACATATTCATTCAATAATTCAAGACAAAAGTATCAATTAGCACACTTACTTGTCCATCTACTAGAGCTGTCAATGGTAAATAATCAAACAAATCTGTGAAATATTTCCATACATTAGCGTTGCCATATTTCCGTAAACATTCATCATAAAACCCGTACACTTGTGTAATCTGTCTACTTTCATGGTTTCCTCGTAAAATTGTTATTCTATCCTTAAATCTTACCTAAAATCAAATTATATACCTTTTTATAAAGTATAAAATATAATTCAGGTAAAGGACTTAAATATCTAAAAGAATACAATCTGGAAATTTTGAACATGACAAAGGAAAAAGTTTTAAAAAAATATGAGAGGTTAGGAATAATCTATAAAACCAGAATATGGTATGACAGTTTGTTTTTATCACACACTTTTTTATCTCAAAAACTTTCGGAAATGGGTAATACTTGATTACTTGCAGATATGAAATAAAAAGCACAGAGTTAAATTCAAATCATTCAGTGACTGGTGAAACTCATTTGAAGGGTAATTCATTCTTGAAGATTTGGTCACTTCAAAAATACATCCTTTTCAACTTAAATATAAAGATAACTAGTTTACTTCTTTAAGTACTGAGTATTTTTTGTAAAGGACAAAACATTCTGTTGTTATTTCTATTTTAAATTATAAGCAACTATTTCACAAAAGAAGTTCTCTGATATGACTCATGTGTATTGTTCTAGTTTTACAATAAATATAACACTGATTAAATTTAAATATTACTTAACTGGGTCAGTAGGTCATGTAGATAAATATAAACATGACAATAGAAAAACAAAGGTATGAAGGAGTGTAGTCTGAATCATAATAATTCAAAAGAAAAATTTTATGTCAAACAAATTTTGAGTTGTTGAAAATAGGTTTTTTGTTGGATATCCAAAAATAAAAGCAGCCTAAAAAATAAACATGTCTGCTACCTATACCTATCAGTTTAAAGAGATTTTAAAAAAGATTAAAGAAGTGGAATATTTCCTTTTTACTTCAAAGAAAACTAACTGTATGTTAACATGACATTGGCACCAGAATTTCTTTTAATACACTGATTCAACATTGACTTACTTTAAGTGCTACTAGAAGAGTTACGGTTTCTACGGAGTAATAACCTCTATCTACATAATCTCCCATGAACAGGTAGTTTGTGTCAGGCGAATTTCCACCAATTTTGAATAACTCCATAAGGTCATGGAACTGACCGTGCACATCTCCACTCACAGTTACAGGACATTTCACTTCTTGTACATTTGATTCTTTGGATAATATTTCTTTAGCCTGGAGAAAAAAACATAAGAAACCGTAATTATAATTATTGATGTATCATTGATTCTCAAGGCTGAATTTGATATGTTTGTAAAATTCTACATATGTATTCAACTTACATACATGTAAGAGTTACAAAGTAACAAAGGGATAAAGAAATAAATGAAAACTCTAAATTGACATATTTGCATTCTTTTAGCTACTAAAATTCTTTGACTGACTGCAAGGAAACAGTCATAATTGCAAGGAAACAGTCATAATATTTAAAGTTGTCGGATGTGATTTTGGTCATTTACTTTTTGCAGCCCCTTTCCCTAATATAATTATTATCACTCGATATTTCTGGGGGCATTCCAGGCTTCGCGAAACTGCTGAAACATTTGCCTGACATTCGGTCATACAAACTTTCAATTCTTGTCTGACCGAAAGAACTTTTGTCTGACCGAATTTTTTTCCCAAATATATGTATATGGTAATACCTTTGTGTTTTTTTAAAGACATAGGAACTTTTAAAGATTTGCAACACAATTTTATTCTCTTAAATAAAACATCAGTTTATCCAGATTGATGGACTCTGTCTTGAAATTTAAACATTCATGATATCATCATATGATCTTTATAAAAATTTATGACACAATGTACATTTCATCTTATTTTCTTCCTCGTTAAAAACCAACCACGAGCGGCCATTTTTCCATTTAGTAGATTTACCCACAAATTTTCTCGGCAGGCGCCTGGACTCGTATTTCTTTTGTTTCGCTTTTTTCCTTCATTAGATAATTTAATAATGCAGTAACACCGAGTTTTTTTTTCCGAGTACAAGATCATCGAAAGTTGTATGTATCTAGAATTTGATTGGACACTAAAAATGAAACGGCGAATCAAAACTCGTTTTACATTTTTTTATTCAAGGGAGAAAACTCGGTCTTGATCGGTCTTGGATATATCCCGGTATTCGTACCGGACATAAGGTCCGGAACTCGGAAAAAAATATCGGACCGGCCTGATTTTTGTCGGACATGTCCGACGGTCCGGCAACTTTCGCGAAGCCTGGCATTCCCAATGCCAATTTCCAAAACATGTTTTTCTGTCAATATTGTGTCAAAATACATGCTACAAATATAGGCCTTGGATAGTGACCTATTATGCTGTCAAATAAGTGTGTGAAGTTACAAGCAAATATCATTAGTGGTTGATGAGATATGATGTTGCATGCAACACTTTAACCAAATTGTAATACCAACTCAAATGCCTAGTTATGTAGGATATCCATATTATTCTTTGAACAATCCTGCAAAATTCGAGAAGCTGTCTGTATGTATAACAGTGCAGTTGACTATTTTCAGTTATTAATACCGTTTTGGTAATGAGAAAGGGGCATAACTCTGTGAAATTTAACTTAACTCAGAGTAATGGGGCCTGTGCCCATCAATCACAAAGAGCAAATGTGTGAAGTTTGAAACCATTTCCTTCAGAAGTTTTGGATATGTCACCTTGCACACATAAACTTAACTGAAGTGTGACAGCAATGTGATTAAAATGATGCCGTGGAACAGCAAGGCATTTTTCAGATCTAACATTTTGTTTATATAAAATTATAAGTGAGACTGTTTATAAAATGATGTGTGCTGATTTCTTTTATATAGACACAAGTACTTTTGTTTAAAAGTCCCTTCAATTACCAGACTGAAAACTAGAAATTGAATAGTGTAATCAAACTGAAGCCCTGTATTAGGATATATTCAAACTGAAGCAAATTATAAGCATTATAATTATATATCAAAGCCCGATTTTGGAAAATGCTGTAAAAAATTAACAAAGTTTATTCTTAATTATTTTCCCATGTTGTGAGGCATCACAATAGTCAAACCATGTCAACAAATATGGTATTGAAACAAGGGCATAATGACTCTAATTCTCTATACCAGGTCACCTAAGGATATTGTTAATTACCTTTTCGATATATACAAAATTTTCTAGCCATGACAGAACTTGTAATATACACTCTATCATGTATGGTATATATATTATTATTGTCGCCATTCCTGGATGGCAACATATAGTGATGTACAGCAAACAAGATTTGACCATTTCTACCTATACACTGTCTGCCCTAAGCCAATCAGACATGACAAGTTGATAGATAACTTGATACCACTTGACGACATTATTGAAGACACAAGAAAAGGAGCGCACCATCTGCCTTTTTTCTTGGGTTACCTCTATTCTATTAAGAATTGAACTACAATCTTCATGTATGAAAATTATGTCGGAATCAGTTTGTTACTGCATAGGCTCTGGTTAATCACTATTTCAAATATTTCTCCTTAAAGACACATTAAGGTTATTTTAATGGAAATGGCAATTCCTAGCAGTCTTTGAAATGCTGATTCATTTTGACTCTATAGACTACGGTAGCTGTAGCCTATACATGTGACTATTCTTTCATGTGAGGGACACCGTCAGTGAGACTTCCAATCCTTATAAAAGCTATAAATTTTATACAAACGGGTAGGCTATAGAATAACCCATGGCATTTACATACGTTGTAAGTGTTATATATACTACAAATAGGATACCTTTTCACATAAAGTTTTCACTTGATTTTCTGAAAGTTGCTTGCATTCGTTCAGTTGTTCTATCCACTGGTCGAGTTCTTTTGCCGCAGTCCTTTCTTCATTCATTTTTGTCGCGTGATGTGGATATTATCTACAAATATTAAACATTTAAATGTTCACCAAATGTCCAAGAAAGGCGTTAAATCACTAGTAACTATGATACGGTTTAAAAAATTATACGGTTCGCAACAAAATGGCCGACAAAACTTGAATATGACGTCACGAAATTTGCTAAGACTTGCTCTCGCAAACTGCAAACATTAAAAACAAAATGAAAAGCTTATTCTGGTCACTTTATATGCGTACATATTAACATCACAATCGTGATAAGAATTTTAAAACATGCAACTAAAATAGAACATGTATCATAAAGTTGAGTCAGATATTTCTATCCTCACCCGGTAGAAAATAAACAGCGACCTCTAGTGGAATATTTAATTTCTCCGGCTATTGATACGGAATCGGGTAAAATAGAGACGTCGGGTGTGTTACATAAATTTCAAACTCATGCAGTGGTTACTTCCCTTGATCACTACAGTCACCGGAGGAAACAGATTCCATATTGAAAATGTGTTTGGGTGTAGTACGTGTATGATTGCTAGTGTCCACGCCCCCTAGCGCTGGCTGTTAAAGCAGAAATCAACATATAACTTGAAATGGTAAATTTTGACCCACCCAGTTACAGGCCAGTGAAGAGGCACATTAAGCGTCTATATATACATAATACTGAGTAAATTAGCCTAAGAACTCTTAAATTAGTCGATCGAAATATATGTACTGGTAAATTAGAAATAGCCCTTTGAATGTGATGATGATTTTTTATTGTATATATATAATATATCCAGTTAGTTTTATTTATATAAATACTTAAATGTAAGTGATGTAAAATTTTAATCAAAAAGCATTTTTAATGAATCGCTTTTTTAGTGTTTATGTTTTACATAATCAGCGCTTTTCCTTTCTATAGCAGGGCCATTAAAAAGCATCTGCCTCTCCGGAAAATCCTTTTTGAAATAGTTTTACCCTAGAAATCAGTAAACATTATGTTGATTTTCTTCGACTTTTACAAAAATAAAATGTAATTTCAACACAAATTCAATGAAGTCCTGGAAGTCTGAAACTTCGTGAAAAAATATGTAGACAATTCCATTTCAAAATGTACACCTAAAATACACCAGAAGCCACCATTTTACCTGTAGATTTCATTTTTTCCTGAGGTACAATATAAACCCCAGACCCCATTAAAGAGGGGGTTTGACTTTCAAACATAAGCCCCCAGCCAAAATTTTCTGGATCCGGTCCTGCAGTTATCTTGGCCATTTATAAGCCTATTAGTTTAGCCTACTTAAATTTCATATTCTGCATGGCAACACTAAATTTACAAAAATGATTATAAAACAGGAGTACAAGTAGTTGAAACATTTAGTTTATTTCAACCAGGGTCTTTCAAATAGAAAATTCTTTTTGAAAGACCCTGTTTCAACCAATGAATACAACATATGTTCATAATGCATTTACAATAAAAAAATACAAACACGAATAAAAAAGTCTAAGAGCTGAAAGTTATTTAAAGCCATGTTTTTTATAACATTTTTCATCCATTACAGAGAATAATTTACATCTTCTCAATCTTTTTTACTTTTTATACATTTTTGCTATTTCTTTTTTTGATTACCACAACAATTTTTGGATAACATTGCGGCGTACGTGTACATATATATGTATCAGTAAAATTGCTCGTGTCAGGCGTGGTCCTGGAAAATCTCGCAAAAATGTGAACTTGCGTGATTGTAAATCTTTGATACAGATTTGACGTCATAGATTCGCCCCATAACGACCCGCCCAACTTTAGTGATGATTAACTCCAGATTAGTGATGATTCACTCCTTTAAGTGATTAAATGATAAAATTACAAGATTAAATGAATGTTTGTGCATACATAAATTTGTAAAACAAAATGTTCTCTTTATGTATTTTGAAGAATAGTAATTGGTGATTTTAAATGATTATAGTTATCAATATTTTCTAAACTGTTATCTAAAGATTTGCCCCAGTTCAATTTGCCACACTTTAATAATCATCATGGCACCATTTAACTTTCTACATCTACATATGCATTATACCGCTTCAAAATCGTTAACGATTTACTAAGCAGGCACGTTTTCTGGAAATAGCTGTTAAATCAATTGTGTTAAGTGCAAAATTATTGGTATAGGATGAAAAGCAATTTATTAGAAAACTACAAGTTTGAAGTAAAAAGATAAAAGCAAAACTGACTTAGAAATGGTAGAAAGGATACAGCTGCCCAAAAAAGAGATTTAATCTGCGATTAGCTTGTGAGGACACGGGTAGGCCATTACACAGATGAATACAGTTGGGGGGAAATTAATAGGAGTGGTATTGAGTCCTTGGGTATGGTATAAGGTAATTTAGGTTTCTAGTGGGTGTCAGATGGTGATGGTCGACCCTCACACGATATTGTGTTGGATTTTGTAGAGTAGGGTAACAGAGCTGATGCTGCGCCTCGGATCTAGAGTTTGCCAATTAAGATCACTTTACGTTCTAGATACACTACTGGTGTAATTGCAGTCATTGTATACATATCTGGTAGCTGACCTTTGAACTTATTCTATTTTGAAAACCAGATATATTTGCAATGGATGCCAAACCGTAGAGCGACATTTTAACTGAGGCTTTACATAAGTTTTGTAGGCAGTAACTTTCTTTGACCTTTTTGTTGGATGTTTTGACATTTCTATTTATAAATATGAATGAGTTATTTGCATTTGCTGTTATGTTATTTATATTATTGGTCCATGATATATAGACATTTACTACTTGTTACACCTAAATATTTTACAGTCTAAGTAGATTTTAGTTGTTGATCATGTAGATTATAAGAGAATGTTACTGTATGTTTCTTGCGGCTGATACTAATGACTTCACATTTATCTGGAATAAATTCCATAGACTAATCACATTCCCAGTTTTTAAGACTGTTAGTTTAAACATATTTTATTTATCAATTTTTACAAGCATGTAACATTTTTACATCACTATATATATGGATTGGAAAACAAGCATAACACTTATATTAATTCCTTTCCATGATGGAGTTTCGTCTTTATTTTTTTCACTTTATATGATCAGTGCATGTTTTAAGGTTCAAAATTGATCTAAATTAATAAATTTTCGAAAAGTATTACTTGGTTTTTTGTTTATTCATTTTCCCTTTTAATGAAAAAAAGGAAGAAAATAATAGTAATAATAACAATAAAACAATTTGTCATGGAAATACGATGTTTTTAAACGCTGAGTCGGGAATTATGAATCGAAACGCTTTGATGCTTCAATGAAGCTCTTGACAAGTGTGAACAGATCCATACTTAGGCGATCATTGCCGAAAAGAAGCTTAATAAGGGTTGGTGCACAGGGTAGGTCGTTAAAGAATTGCTGACGTATGATAAGGTACTAAGGAAAACTGAGCCGAAAGTGGGAAACAGTTTCTATAGCACCACATGTACACAAAGGAGCCGAGATTAAGTTTCTCCTATGTAATTCGAAATTAAGAGAGCTGCATCCAAGTCTGAGACGTGTATGGTTTACTTGGTTTTTCCTGCTGCTAAAATGATATAAGGTGTTTCAAGACTGTTGAGATCTTTTTGGAGGGTTTGGGCATCTTGGGTTATGACATATCATAAACTTGTTTGTATACATAGAAAGTGCAAGCAAATACAATTAATATTGTCAGCTATGAATAATCGTCTGCTTTAAGTCATGAACATATACTAATACAGATATAAATCTGTGATAAGGTTATAGCTGGTAGTGCATTTAAGTAGTGTTATTGTAAATAAATTGAAATTGAAAATTGAAATTAATTATTCTTCGAACTTAAACCTCTTTTGAACATACGTTAAAGTAAACATTCATAAAACGTATCAACTATATAAAACAATTTCTGCAAAAACAGTCAGTCAATTTTCTGTTAATAATGTTTTGAAAATGAAATGAATTGTTTATATTCTGATTAATACCAAAGACTCAATTTATCAGTAGTTCTCTGGTATTTATCAGACTAAATCAAACCTGCAACATTTTCATTTTTGCCGTGTTGGGCTTTCTTAAGGATTTCCTATTTTCTCTTTTGACAAATATTAAATATTACCCAAGGAAATTTGCATTTATTATGAATCTGTACTGATATAGCGGTAATAAACACTATATATTGTGTATTTAATCATTTTGAATGATTGAAGTTTTGACAATAGACTTTACGCTTCCGTGACGATAGACATATCCGATGTGTGTAAACCGGAAGTACTCTTCAGTCTCTTTTTTGATGGCAGCGGATCTGATGGCTGCCTAAAATCACAAGTGGTGTTGAAATCGGCTTTGATCCTCGCCAAATATATATCGCTGATACAAAATGGCTACAGAACAGATGACACTGAGGGCCACCCTTCAAGGCCATGGCGGTTGGGTGACCCAGATTGCTACAACTCCCCAATATCCAGACATGATTCTGTCTGCTTCAAGAGGTGATTTTTCGTTTTGTCAATGTTGATCACATTGGGCTTCCTCCTAAATGTTATGAATATTTGTTTGGGTTTTCTTATATTTTCTTGCCCCAAAATTGTAATTCCTTTAGTTTCATCGGACATACCTTAAATGCCATCACACTCTTTGGGTCTAAATCTGTTCAGATATGTGGCATATGAGTGATTCCCCACATGAACAAGCTCTTCACCCCCAAACGGATTCCCCACAGTTCTCCTCCAAGTTTGAAATATGCAAACAGTTCCATAAATAAGATTATTATCATTTATATTCATATCTTTACTTTTATTCAGATAAAACACTGATTCAGTGGCGTCTTGTACGTGAAGAAGGATGCTTTGGAGTGCCACACAAAATGTTGAAAGGTCACAGTCACTTTGTGTCTGATGTTGTTATGTCTTCTGATGGACAGTTTGCTCTGTCCGGATCCTGGGACAAGACCTTAAGATTGTGGGATCTGAGCACGTATGCTGACTTTCTGTCTCTTAATTTATTTGAAAATTTAGTTGTGAAATATAAAGCTGAAAGAAGCATTTTATGTAAATGAGTTAATTTTAAAGAAGGCTATATCCTATTTCATTATGTTAAAATCCTGTTATTATATCAAATTTATATATATTTGGAACAATTCCCAGTGATGCCAAAACTGTTTATCAGGAGGTCAGGGAATGATGTGAATTTTTGTTTTTAAAAAATTGCTTTTTCTTGACTATTTCACCTTGCTGATAAATTTGTAATGAACATTTTAGCTCAAAGACAACAAGAATGTTCAAAGGTCACACCAAGGATGTATTGAGTGTTGCCTTCTCCGCAGACAACAGACAGATTGTGTCCGGATCCAGAGACAAGTCCATCAAGCTTTGGAATACCCTTGGTGTCTGTAAATACACCATTCAGGTATGAAATATCCTGTGAATATACTTTGTGAAATGTCATGGACTTTATTTGATGGGATAGAAGGAAGTATATTAAATGTAATTAAGTGCTTCTCCTAAAATAGATGTGGTACCTGAGTTGCAGATCTTTTGTCCCATCTGTCACATTGTTTCGCATAGTAGGTATGTGGGTTTCCTATATAGACCTATACCCACAAGTGATATTTGAAGTCAGTGTAGTCAAGGTAACTTGCACTGACTGTTACCAGTTATCCTTGTATTTTAGCAATTTTCATTTGATATGTTAAAGTGATCCATCAGTGTCTTAGATATTATTGTGATATTTTGGTAAAATATTTTCAATAAGTATTCATCTAAAATTTCTTCCATTTGCGATTTGTCATTAGAATTATTGTTTGATAAGTATATATGGGTTAAGAAATAAGTATACTTTTGAAAAAGTCGACAGATAAAGATTGTATTGTTTGCTTGGCTTTATTTGATGTTAAGACATGTGACTCACTGATAAGTAATTACAATCAGGGTTTTCCCCAACCTTATAGAGGCTTATAAAATGCTATTACTAATGAAAAGTTCTTTAAAAATCATGCAATTTTTTCAAAAAATCCAAGCTACTAACTTAAAAGTTTTTACTTTTTTAGCAATAATTTACTTATTTTAGCAATAATTCTTCCCACAATCAAAAAGCTATTAAAGGCATCTTTCCCAATCATGATTGATATTAGACTCGATGGAAAGTTTAATAAAAGTGTTATCTGTTATTGATAGGATGAAGGACACAGTGACTGGGTGTCATGTGTGAGATTCTCCCCAAATACAGCCAACCCAATCATTGTTTCTAGCAGCTGGGATAAGAAAGTCAAGGTATGTTCTACATTGTATGTAAGGAAGTGAAATAGTTAACATTTATGATATAGTAAAGATTGAAATAAACACAGATTGTTAATTTCTACCGTTATTAGAGCTGTCAGCGAAAAGAAACAATATTGATGTATTGTCAGTATTTTTCCGTTGATCAATTATAATTGTAATTGATATGCATTTGAAAAACTTGATAATGTTAACTCATTATATTAAAAGTAATTATTGATATGCTTAAAACTAAAACAATGACAGCACTAATTATAATAAGCAAGTCTGTTTTGGATCTTTTTTAGTGACAGTATATTTTCGAGTAATTTGTAGTTGGAACATCTTTAAAATTGTAGTTAACTTGAATGGGTTTTAAACCTAAGTGAAAAAGAGAAACCATAACATCCAATTGTTGAAAGCTGAACTAATAAAACTGCATAGTAAAATAAGGAAACTAGAAGTAAAAGAACATATATATGCTCAATTGTTTGTATAATTTGACAGGTTTGGAATTTGACAAACTGTAAACTAAAGACCAACCATTTTGGTCATGCTGGCTACTTGAATAATGTTGCTGTATCACCCGACGGTTCTCTGTGTGCCTCTGGAGGCAAGGTAGGTTCTTGTTCTATAATGTCAAGTTAACCTTTATAACTATGCAGGGTTGTCATCTGGCGGAGACTGTAGACCAAAATGATTGTGTCAAATACAACTTGGGCTGCCAGAAAATTTCTAAATCACTCTTTAATAACCAAAAGGTGACTGCCTCAAATGCAAAGAAACAGAAGTAGGAAATTCTGCAATATGTTCAAATTAATATACAAGGCTATGGGAATGGAATTATTCATTAAAAAAAACTTGCTATATTTATTTGCCTGATACCTATTGTTAAATGTTTTTAAGAAGGGAGCTTGGTAAATATATGTAGAACTATTTATTTTATATGGCATTTGTGGTTCTTAAACTAGAGGAATCTTCTTTGTCTGTTTAACCTCATTGAGTAGATTAATATTTGTATACCTGATGACTGTATTTTTCCCTGTTGGAAGTTTAAAAAAATGAGCTTGAATAATTTTTAAATTGCAGATTTTTTTTTGATTTTTTTTTTTGCTTGTAACCTAAAGAACTTCAGCAAGCAGCACTTTTGTCTGTGAGCCTTGACAAAATTGAAGGCCGGCATGAAAAAAACCTAACCGTCATTTTACATACGACATCAATGGATGTTAACATTGTCAATGACGTTAAAAATAAAAAAGTAATGTTCCCTTAAAATGTTAAAGATAAATATGACTTAGTATATTTCAGACGTTTTTGTTTATTTTTAGAGCTATAGAACTAAAAAGCCTTCAAAATTCAATATGTCAATCTTAAAAAATAATTAATGACGTCAAGGGTTGTAGTCTCATGTTGGCGGTCTTAATATTGATAGCCAGTATTCACTGCATTATTTTCTCATTTGAACTTTTAATTTAGTTGAATGAATAACTTAAATAATTAAAAATACTTGTATCAGAAATCTTGGGCATTATAGTGATGTTCATTTTTGTACAGGATGGTAATGCTATGCTGTGGGACTTGAACGAAGGCAAACATTTGTACACACTTGATGGTGGTGGCATCATCAACTCTCTCTGCTTCAGTCCTAACAGATACTGGCTGTGTGCAGCTACTGGTCCTAGCATCAAGATCTGGGTAAGTCTATAAATATTGTCAAAGCTTTGTTACGGTTATTAGCTCCTCTGTTTCGAAAGAAAAGTCAAGCTATTATAATAGCAGCTGTATCGTTGTTGCCATCATGCAAAAACTTTAATGTAGTCTATTATTTAAACATTTTAAAAGTTGACCAACATGAAACTTTGAATCAAATCAAGGTTAAATGTAATAGTATAGAAATGACTATTAAAATTTATTATTGTGTGCATTAATTACTACTCGGTTTATAATTTGAATATAGAATTCAGATAAATTGTTTTTTCATTGATGGAAAATAGCACAACTTTTGCATCTTTGTAATTGTATTTGTAATTTTCCTTTCAGGATTTGGAAGGCAAAGTTGTTGTAGATGAACTGAGACAGGAAGTAATTGGTACAAGCAGCAAGGCTGAGCCAGCCCAGTGTATTTCACTTGCCTGGTCTGCTGACGGACAGACACTTTTTGCTGGCTACACAGATAACAATATTCGTGTCTGGCAAGTCTCCATGGCGATGAGATAAATAGACATTAAATTAACAGAGAAAAAAAATGGAAGAAATTTAACATCATTGGTTTGTGGGAAATTGTTCTGTAAGCCAAGCGATATTGCAGTAAAGTTACTGTAAAACAGAGTTATGTTGTTGTTTTCTGTTCATTTTGTATGAAAATTTTGCGGAATTCACACTTCTATTTTGAAAGAAGAGTAGACATACCATTAAGTGACATTATGCTCATTTTCTCACGTCAAGTTGAGCTGAATTAACCAAAGATTTCAAAAATGACTTTTGTAATAGTTAGTGACCAATAATTGAGAAAACAAATACATGGTAGAATAAAATGATTTAATATGATTTAATTAACGAAAATATAAAACGCCTTTCTATTTATTAATTAAACATCAACAATACAATCCAAACAATATTTATGGAAATTTTCTGAAGTCATATGGGTAATTGATTATTCATTTGAAGTAAAATAGTAAGTTGGAAAAAAAAATTCTGCAAAATGTGAAGTTATTTTGACCTTTACCTGTACACTCAACATTTACACTTGGATGGGCATAATGTCAATTTCATCTGGTAAACAAGTGTTCAGTCTTTTGCTCAGATTGCCCTTTGTCTGGGTTTGAATCGGTACCGCCAGCAATCCTTTTGATTACTAGTCTGGTTCATTACCCACTTTGCCATGCCACCACAAGTTTCTTACATCTAAAGACAGCATCTTGGAAACCTGGAGTATACTCTGTATTACCGACGTACTTCAGTATTTTGCCATGTACGGTCATGCATACGTTAAAAGTTAAAAATCTTTGGACATCGTTCAATAAAAAATGTAATGATAAGTTAAATCTGTTCTGCTTTACACAAAATATTAATTTTAAATTCACCAATGAAATTCAATGCAGACGTATAGGAAAACTTTTAAGTACGTCGATAATATGGAGTCCCATGCTATACACTTGTAACACTTGACTTGTGAGATAAACATAAAAGTTGACAGCAGTACTTATAAGTCTTGATTCTTCCACCTAAAGAAACTTTCAATTTGCCTTTTAGAAGTTTGGTGGCTTTTATTGAATGTTTCTGCAATAGAACAATCTCGATAGAAGGATCAACTCGAGTTGATATTTTTAAAATGTTTGGTAGCTGCAAACAAATAGTTATTTATCACAGACTCCTGAGTTAAATAGGCAGAGTAAGCCAGGGCTTCCCTTAATGGAAGTCTGGGAGTCATTTACTCCTTAAATTTGGCTTGTGACTTCCAAATATGTCATTCTTATTCTTCTTTATCTATATAGTGCGACTTCCAAATTTAGAGATTTTGTTGTCTCTGACTTTCTTGAAGGTAAAACCTTTGTTTTATAATGTTTTAAAGCATGTTGGATGCTTGTCAACTGAAAAAAGTAGCATTGAATGTGAAATCAAAGTTGCAAAATGGTGGTAGTATTTTATAACTTGATCAAACCACTTGCCCCTCACCGCTGTGGGTTCGAATCCCGACAGGGACTTCGGATTCATTCATGTGAGGAAGCTATCCAGCTAGCTTACGGAACGTCGGTGGTTCTACTCAGGTGCCCGTTCGTGCCTGAAATAATGCACGGAAGGGCACCTGAGGTCTTCCTCCACCAGTAAATCTGGAACGTGGCGGTATGACCTATACTGTGTCGATGTGACGTAAAACCCAAAACAAAACAAAAATTTTATAACTTGACTTGTGGCCAAAAAGCAAAAGATGGTTAAACTGTATAGGTACTGGTATTGGAAACAACAGAACGTCAACAGTAAGAAGCTTTTGAGCAATAAAAGTAATGGCAAACTTGTGACTAAAGTATGTAATAACTTGCATAAAATATTACAAGGTTTAATAGTTCAAATGCATTTCCATTTAAATATCGTTTAACATGATTGTACAAAACAAATTATGATAGACTTGAGCTACACAAATGTCCTGCAACCCTTAAATAATTATTTAGATAGCACAAAGTCTAGATGTGGGTCGGTAAACTTATACTGCACAATTTAAAACAGCATGCCTCCAATTTGATATTGCAAAAGAAAAGTATAAAAATATAGTCCCAAGAGAACCAGAGTAAATTTCCCATCCTAAACAAGTCTAAAAATTAACCAAGAATCATCAAAAATTTGACACAAACATTTATCCATTTCTATTTTAATTAAAAACGTGTGAAGTTTTAAGGGAGACAACTGTCTTAAATACAATGGAGTCTATAATCAGAGTTTCTTCCCTTAAGATAATTATGTTACATATTCCAACAGCATTTGGTGTTATTAAGCCACATTGAATTTACGAGAGCAGGTTTTTAGCATTTATTACTCTCCTGCTTATGTTTAACATTTTTCAGTCAGAGTAGCCCTGGTTTGATATATTATCGCATACCCGTGCCGCTTTTGCAACTCTGTAAAATTGGTATTGCACGGCCGTGCATATATTTTGACGGGACTTCATTTGCGTAATATAAATTAGAATCACAACATGTTAAATGAAAGCGTTGTACTATCGGAGCGTCAATTAGAAATGGTTCTTTTTCTCTTCAAATAGTCTTTACTTTTGGTATGTGATGAATAGAATATTAAATTTGTGTAAGTTCATTACTGAATTTATAGAACAAGTTCAATAAATTCAATATCCTCTATGTAATAGAAAGATCATTGAAACACGAGGCTATCTAACTTGTACGAGGGGGCATACTGTTGATGTGTAACATGCTGAGAAGTTACATGTAGATTAAATGAGCCGTATCATGACAAAACCAAGATTGTGCGTTTGCGACCAGCATGGATCCAGACCAGCCTGCGCATCCGCGCAATCTGATCAGGATCCATGCTGTTCGCTTACAAACCCTTTAGCAAGTAGAGAAACTGATAGCAAACAGCATGGATCCTGATCAGACTGCATGGATGCGCAGGCTGGTCTGGATCCATGCTGGTTGCAAACGCACTATGTTGGTTTTGTAGTGACGCGGCTCAAATGTATACATATACTGTTACAATACACACATACAGAGAGGACTCTACCTCCAATAATTTGTTGCTTCTAGCCAAAATAAAGCTTTCTTTGGCCGAGAAGTCTACATTAGTTTTGCTAACAGATGTAATATTTTAAGTTCAAGTGCACCAGATTATAAGGAAAGAGCACCACAGGCATTATAGATCTCAACTACTAGTAACACTTGACCTTCACACAATGTCAAACAAACTTTATATACAACAAATTCAATTTAACTGAAAATGCCGTCTGTATAGCCTTGAGAACAAGTCCTTGACTTCTACTCACTTTTATAAATTTTATCTTGGAATTTTTTTGTTTTACAAAGCTTTTAGTTGCAAATTAAAATTGCCTTCCAAGAATACTATGCTTACTATGTTAAAGATGAGAATTTTTTCATGTTAATCTAATAAAGAATTTTTTACTTACTTCAAAGTTTTTGCTTTACAGTTATAATAAGCTTTATAATAACCTTCATTATATATATGTATTTAGACATGATACATCTATGAACATGTTATCATTGTACATGCTGATATATAACCTTGAAACTAATTTGCCATGAACAATTGCAAGGTCAAATTTTTAATCCTCCATCATAACTTTATTATTGGTTAATGGAAAGTTTAGCTGCCTTTGTAAGTCTTATGCTCTTAGTCTAATAGATCATATGAGCCGCGTCATGACAAAACCAAAGTAGTGCGTTTGCGACCAGCATGGATCCAGACCAGTCTGCGCATCCGTGCAGTCTGATCAGGATCCATGCTGTTCGCTTACCAACCCTTTTACAAGTAGAGAATATGAAAGCGAACAGCATGGATCCTGATCAGACTGTGCGGATGCGCAGGCTGGTCTGTATCCATGCTGGTCGCAAACGCACTATGTTGGTTTTGTCGTGACGCGGCTCATATAAGGTAAAAACTTTGAGGAAAGTCTATAACTTTTAAGTATACATGTATGTCCTAAATAGCTTCAGAAAAACTATAGGTCATAAACGGTATAGGTTTATCAGTTAAGTTTTTGAGAGATAGGGATATAGAGGATATTTGTTTGTTTTGCATGTAAGATTGAAATATAATTTCACTGAGTGAACACCAGATACAATATTTTCACAATGGCGTAGCCACGAGTGAAAATATAATAGCTGGTGTTCACGAATGAAATATATTTCAATCTTATATGTAAAACAAATAAATTTTCTTTTTATTTTATGCTTTTTAAGTGATTTCAAGTATTTTTTTACTGATTTTGCCGCGTAACGTCGCGCATTTTCCTTTGTGACGTCATTCTATCATGACGTCACATCATAAGTTTTGAAATATAGTTCTGTTAAATTTCTCTAATTTTGTTAAATTTTAACATGATAAATGACGACATTGACTTTCTTTTCCTAAATAAGCAAATTTACGTATGACAGAATTTATTTCTGTCTGTTATTCCATTTGGTTATGATTTTCTTTTCATCCGCATTTAGATATAGTCCGGCTACAGTGAAAATTATATTTTATAAATTTCACTAGTGGTTTATCAGAATATAATCATCTGATATATTGTAATAAAACACTGGAAAGCATGAAATAAAACAGAAATAAACAATGCAAAAACCATTACAATCATTTATTAAAATTAAGTCGAATTCAACAGGTTTTTTACCTTGGAAAACATATATTCCAGAAATAACACTGAAAAATCTACTATAATGTATAATCATTTATTAAAAAATATAATCAGCTAAAAAACAACAACTCCACATAAAAGTGATTGCATTTTTAATAACGAAAGGGCCATGGTGGCCCTGAAATCGCTCACCTGATTGAGTTGCATGCATTGCAAGGAACACTCTTCTTAAAGTCAACATATAGTTTTAAAGGGTAACTATGCAAAAGATCTTAAAACAGACAAAACATCTATTTTTACAAAAAATTCCCTAAAATTCAATGACTATATATCAGAAAGTGCCTACCATAATCTGATACCTGACCTTGCTCTGTACTGGTTGCCATAATGCTTCAGGATCTGACAGTCACCAATAGAAAGTCATCTCATTACTTTTCAATCAAGCAATCTGCGGCTGTTACCAGATTCTTGAAAGTGGATTAGTTTCTCTTTTTGTAAAAAAAAAACCATTAAGAAGATTTGAGCTTAAGTCAGATTCCAATGGTCACATGAGTATATATCTGTTGCCACGTAGACTATGGGTAAAAAAAGTTCCCAGAAATACATTGGAAGGCGAGCATGTTTTTGTTTTGTTTGATTTTACAGCAACACCAACACAATTTAGATTATATGGTGCTGAAACAGAAAAGATTAATATGGCAAACCTCAGGTGTTACAAACTTGAAGCAATATCAGGAGTCAAAACTGCTGGACCTCAGAGATGCAAAGACTCCAGTAATTTCAACTCATTTAGTCACCTCCAATGATCATGCAGGGTTAAACGGTGGCTGCAGTTCTAATGCCTCAACCCCTCAGCCAAAAGAGGGGTGGGGGGGGGGGGGGCAAGTAGACTCAATATATCTCCCTCTGGCACTTTGTACCAGGTGTCTAAAAAGTCATATACATGTGTACAAGGAAAAATGGCAATGACAGAGATCATGTCAGACACTATTGCCACAAGGTCATAAATTTCTAAACGACTTTTTCCTCTAACAGAAAAAAACAAGAATTGCTAACAAATTAAATTTAATAGGATCATACAAAATCATTTTTGATAAAATTCTACTAGTTTTTTTTTTTTTACATCAATTCACTCAAATTTTCCTGGAAAAACAACAACATATATATAATTTCTCATATTTAAAATTGAACATCTGAAAAACTGTTAGATGTTGTGTATAAATGTACTTCCTAAAAGCATTTTAAGTGAATATATATGTATATATTGCAATAAAAGCAAAATTAACTTCCTTGAAATAATTTTTTAATAACAGACACTTTACATGTACTTCGCTTAAAAACCCTACAAAGGCAGGAAGAAGATGGTAATGATGCACTTGAGGCATTTATCCCTAAACCTGCTGTAGTTTTATAATGGATTTGCCCAGATTTTGATTTGGAACAGTCCATTCAAAGTTTAAGGGATTTCGATATCAAAATAGAAATACTGAACTACCAACAGTATAGAGCCTGGTCAGACTGCACATATGTACATACTGGCCTGGTTCCATACTGGTTTGCAGTTAAAGGGATAAATGTTCAGATTTTTAATACAGAAGTACATGTATAATACTGTTTTTCAGTAAAACACATTAATATATTTATATAATACAGGCATGTTTCTCATTTACATCTGTACATGTAGTTATGTACTTATATAAACATACATTTAGATAATACTCAATAAATTTCACACAACAATTAAAAATCTATAAACATACACTATCTATAAACAAGACAAAATCATTCTGATTATAACCTTGTACACTCTGATAAAATATAGATAAAATATTCATTGTTTATGGTCTCCTTTACCTATCCTATGACAATGTATTTCAAAATAATTATTTCATCTGTCACAGTGTTAGATATATTATACTTAGATATATAGAATAAGAAAAAAAACTGTGACTGATTTAGCCATCTGCGGTGAAGGTAGCTTTAATGAGCTTGCCACTATGGTAATAAAAGTGATGATGTCACAATAAAGTAAAAAATCACTTAAATATATAGGTCAATTAGTACGAAGAAAATGCAACAGCAGCTGTGGTTAGCATACTGGACCAACAATCCAGAGACCCATGGATTGAGTCCCGGCTGCGGCATGCAAAATTTTTCTATGTCTAAATTTCCTGCTCAATGACTTTCTTTCTTACATATAATTACATTTTTTCTTATAAAAGTACATGTAAATCTTTGGACTATTGGTTTTTAAATTGACACAAAAGGTATATTTTTTTTGAACAATTTATTAACAGTTTAAGGGAATACAAAAAACCTGTAAAACCACTGGAAGCAAAGGCTAATCACCTTTGGTTACATTGTATGTGTGACAAGGATTAATGTTAAAGCTAAGCTCGGAAATAACCCAGCAAGAAACAGTCAGTTTAATTCAGCAAGCTTCCAGAATAAGGATTTTATGAAAATTTTGTGTATTGAACATATAAAAGATACATTGTCAAGCAAATAAATTGATATACATGCATATAAAGTAATCTAAGTTAACATTAGGCACTCTAAGGCCACATTACTTACATAAAATTTGTCAAATATGCAATGATAGTACTTATTTTATAAGGAACAGGGTAAAAATACAGTGATGAAAAGACTAAATTCAGCCATATTTGTACATAAAACATTTAAACCTATACAGTCATTGTGAGTATTTATAAATTTCTCTGACCCATAAAAATTGTTCTTTTTTTGCTAAACTCTTTTTTTTATTCATCACGAGGTGGTACAGCTTCAACGCTGATTTACATCTTTACAAATAACATTGAAGATAAGGCACATTAGAAAATAAATAAAGAAAAAAAAACAACAATATGTATGAAAGATTTAACTGTTTACAATTATCAAGATATACATGTATATACGAGTAAAAACATGCATACTCGCTCGCTCGCAAGCCGCAAATAAAGAAAAAAAATATGTTCCATAAATAGCCATCATAAAAATCATTAAAATTTCATTTTATTACAAAACAGTTAAGAAATTCCTCTGGAAAACACTGCATGAAAACCAGACTTTAACTAATTACATAAATGACAATTAAAGTATTTTTAAAAAAACAAGCTGGAAAAAAAAGAAGATTTTTTTTAAAATTGATTCACTTGTCATTTAATGAGATAATGTTTTGATCTTCATGAATTTAATAAATATGTGTCAGATAATGTTTCATAGTTGCTATGGGAACCATATTTTAAATGCTGGTATGATACTTGAAAAATCCTTTTCAATTTGTTATCTTGTCCTTAGCACACTCCCATAGTAGCAAATATAAATTTTATACATTTAGGATGTTTCGCGACTATTTGAAATACGTTTTTAGTTTTTACATACTGTTTTTTCAATGACTTTAACCAGTTGTTACATGCATAATTTAACTTACACTTACTTAACACATAGATGTTTGCATATCGCTCTAACAATTGTTTCAAAATGTTCTTATAATAACAATCATACCTTTACTATAGAATGAACAACTATAGTCTCATATTTTCAACTCAATATATAATCTAAAACCAATTTTTTAAACTTTATATAAGTAGCATACAGGTTTGTGAGTAACAGTAAATATATTATCCCAAGAAAAAATATCATCCCTTGTAAAAATACTGTTATCCTCAGCTAACGCCTCGGGTAAAAGTATTTTTACTAGGGATATTTTTGCTGTAACTCACCAACCTTTTTATTATCCCGAACACAGATTTTATTGGGACACTGTTTCTGTAAGTTTCTCTTCTCAAATTTTTAACTGTGAAAAAGTACTGTTACCTGTACTCTTACGGTACACAATTTGTATTCACATTGTACACTTTAATTAACAGTATGAATAACTCCCATTGGCCTATGGGAAATTAACATAACAAAAATAGTGAGGAGTTAAAATATAACTTTATGTTTGCTTTTAATTAAGAACAAAATTGTTTAATTGCTTCTGAGGCATAATGTGCCTTTCAGACTTGACTAGTAGTAATAAAACACCATGTAACAAAATTACAATTTTTAAAATTTTGTCACAAAACCTGGTTTTCCTGTAATGTTTTTTTCTTATCAATCATTATATCTTCACCTCAGCGCAATAACATGTTAACTCTTTATATTATCTACTGGGAGTTAACCCGTTAGTGCTCTAAAGTCAAGATTTCTAACATTAGAGCCATAGAAAACTATAGAAAACTTAAGTTAATATGGAGACCAACAATTTAATATCATTTTCTTGTATACAAATTCATTTCTAAGCTAAAACATTTCATATAACAAATATATTGCACATTACTTTATAAACATAAAACAGAAATTCTTTCATTTACAAAAATGTTTGCTATTTTATTTAAGTAACAATATTTTAATGAAGGTTTTCGTACTATAGCAAATATGTTATCTTAGAAACACTTACACAAATTATTATTACATTAAATTTTGATTTCATTTTCACAATAAGTTTAGCTAAAAAAGCAATTAAAATTAAACATTACGAAAAAATATGTATAAATATATTCAAATTAATTAATTTAGTTGTATTAAATAGCACAAAAATACAGTGAAGAAGAAATTTTCCCCAATTACCCAATGTCAACAGCAATGTTGCAAAGTCATTTAATCAGTTAAATTAAAATAACTCGGTCAATGTTGATATGGTACAAATATCAATTTTCAATAGTTCAAAATACATGTACCAATTACTAATAAATTACTAATTAAACACTATCATTCCAACCCATATTATTACAATTTTGAAAGCAAAACTTGGAAACAATTCTTAAAATAGACATATCACCCAATACTCAACATGTTCTAAAACTGACCAATCAGACATTGATATTTTACATGATTGCCATGTGATAATAACACAAAAATGTTTTATCACCCCATATTTGTAAAATGTACTAGTCCTCTTGCATTATGTGTGGGTAGTCCATTATTTATGTAAGGTCATTCAGGGTTACATTTCTTAAGGTAAGCATGGAATGAACAAATGATACAGGCTTTCAAGGTAACATAACTAAAGCAAAGCATTGAATGTTTGATTGTAAAAATGTGCAAGCTGGCCTTGCTAAAAACAGAAACATAAACCATTTGGTCACCACTAGCACATCACCACTAGCACAAAGGGGTTAAAACCTTAAAATTACATCATATTTAAAAAAAGTATAAAAATACAAACAACACATTTTTTTCATTAAATAAAGTCAGTTTTTCAAACATCACTTCTTGAAGACGATACGATAAATACATGTTGATATGCACCAACGTTAAAATCAAATCCATTCACGCATCTCAATTTCCCACTACAGCACTATATTCTGGTGGCTTTTCCTGAAAAAACAAAATATAAAATATGTAATTCTAATTCTCAATTACCTCAATGTATGTTGGTCCTACATGTATTTATACACAAGTAAATTGTAAGCATGGGCTGTTCAATTCTGGGGAAGGGCATGGGGTCGGGAACCAGCTCTGCCAGATTAATGGGGTACAATGTAGCGTCAATATGCCTGAGGATCTTGTAAGTCTGAATCCCAGTGCTATCTTACTGCCTCTGCAGGACCTTTCATACAACATTTTCACCATCTGATCATGGTCTGCTTTATTCCCTATTCAATCAGTACTAAATATTTTAAAAAAATCCCTAAATCGGCACTAATTATTTCAAAAAATTCCCTAAATCGGCACTTATTAAAAAAAATTCCCTAAATCAGTACTAATTTTAAAAAAAATTCCCTAAATGGGTACTTATTTAAAAATTTCCCTAAATTGGTACTTATTTTAAAAAATTTTCCTAAATCAGCACTTATTTAAAAAAATTCCCTAAATCGGTACTTACGGTATTTAAAATTTTCCCCTAAATCATTACTGATTTAAAAAAATTCCCTAAGTCGGTACTTATTAAAAAACTTTCCCTAAATCAGTCCTCATTTAAAAACTTTCCCTAAATTGGTACTTATTTAAACAAATTCCCTAGATTGGTACTAATTTAAAATTTTTCCCTAAATCGGTACTTATTTAAAACTTGTCCCTATAGTGTGGTGTGAGTTACTCTACTGCATCATTGTAAAATACATAATGACATCACCAAACATCCAGATAACCTATCATCATAGGAGTGGTTATCATTAAATAAACAACTGAGGGACATCTTTTGATACAAAACAAGACATCATCAAAAGGATATCTAAAGCAATATAAACCTAGTATATATATATGTATATATATCTAATCTTAAAATCAAATCGAAAGACATAAAATTATAATTGTACGTCACTGTTAAAAGTTCACATGATGAAAGAAATCTTCTAGTTTCGTCACATGAATATAATTGTCACGTGAATATAATTATTATGTTCATATAAAAAATTGTTCATTATCATATGATGTCTTTTTCTTCTCTGCTGAATGTAAATACATCAGTGTTGCTCAGATCAATTTTTATGCTTACTATGCACCACTGACTGTATGAGTTAAACTCAAACCATTCTAAATTGCTTATATCTTAAATGGACTTGAACAATTTTAAATCTTAATTCTCAATCTTTACAAAACCATTTTTACGTTTTAGGGGAATATCTCAAAAAAAAAATGTTGCAAATGAAGAGCGAACAGTGCAGACCACAGTAAGACAGCACCGAGGGTGCGGACCGATCATGGTCTGCACTAGTAGTGTGGCTTGGGTTGGTTGCTCTGTCAGACTTATGTTTCATAATGTAAGGTTAATCTACAACGTGTTTAAGTCAGCCGATAAGTTTTATCTTTAAGATGTTTAGATAACAATTATTGATATAATTAAACAGTCATTGATATATTTAGACAGCCATTAATATACTTAGTGATTGCTATATTTAGACAAGAAACGTGTTTATCATAACCTTGTCCCTGGTACAAACAAGTATATCAGCGAACACGAGCTACATGTATATATCTATATCTTATTTCTGTTTGTTTCTTTGTTTTTGCGGTTTTTATACTGACATTTTTTGTCTATCTCACTTTTCAAAATCAACCTTTTCCAAGCAAAATTTGTGTAATAGGGCTGTCATGCTTTGAATTTAAAACTTGCCATTCTTTGTTTAAAATCTGATCTTATTTACAATTGGTCCAGACACTGTACTGTTGGGTATTCGATTTTGATATACACATGTACTGTACTATACTGCTACTAAACTGAAATACCAGTATATGTAAGTGCATCAAAATATCAAAATTTAGTACCCAACACTACAGTGTCAGGACTGTATGTGTAGGGTAGCCTGGGTTTATATTTAGCATTTACGCAAGTCGTATTGAATATGAAAAAGAATAGTAGGTGATAGTTTATTTTTTAAGAGCAGAATCTTCTTGCAAGGAAAGGTCAAGGTTGGTCTTTAAGGATACAGACTTCATGCTGGTAAAGTAAGATAATCACCTGATAAGCCGGCGCTGACGGTGGCATGTTTTGTACCACTGAGTGTTGGTATGCAGTTGTTGACGGTGGATAACCATAAACCTGTGGCATAGTTCCGTATGTTGCCTGAGTTCCATCAACTACGACATATCTTGGTTGAGCAGCGTAACGGCGACGTCGTCTTACACAGATACAGATGGAGCACGAGATGATAAACACCACTACCATAAACCATATGAACCAAAACCCTGAAATTTATATATATACATGTATATATATTTATACCTTACAGTGTCTAAATCATGTGCAACAAGAAGGTTAAGGTAGCCCAGTGGTAGATCGCTCACCTATGATATATTACCAGGAAAGGTCAAAATTCTTCACTGAAGAAGTAAGTTGAATTAGATCACACTGGGTGTGTCAATTTTAATCTAAGTTGCATGATTTATAAAGATATTTAAACAGTTCCACTAGGACATGCTAGTCACTCCTAATGTCTAAGCTCTAGAGTCATAGACAATGCAGCTTCGATGGACAAAATTCATATTACAAATCATTTTTACTACGCCAGTTCAATTTTGTTAAAAACATAAATTCGAATTTTTAATGTTTGCAACTTTATAGTGTCAAAAATTGACTGTAAATATTTATGTTATACAAAAAGTTATGGTCTTTTTCTACAACATAAGGCTTTTCTTTAAAACTCATATGCATATTGCATATTTTGTTAATTGGCTGATTAACTGTTAGTATACTACAATACAGAAATATGGACATAAACTTTCAAATAAATAGCCAGTGCATTTAAAACTGTAAATATTGTTATGATCAGTCATAAATTTACATATCAAACTATAATTATATAATCCTTAAACCTGCTGCATTTTTTTGCAATAGATCTACTCTGCCTAGAATAAGGAAAATTCCTTCCAATGGTCAATGAATCTTAAAAAAAAATCATTAAAGCCACCAACAGTATAAAACTGGACTTTATAGTAGTGGTATAAGGCTAATGACTTCTGGTGTTGGCACGTTAAGATATTAAAGCCATATCAAATTTTAGTTTGTTGTAGTTGGCTGTAATGTGAAACAGAAAAGATAGCTGAAATGTGAAACAGAGAAGATGGCTGTAATGTGAAACAGAGATGTTGGCTGTCATGTGAAACAGAAAAGATGGCTGTAATGTGAAAAAGAGAAGATGGCTGTAATGTGAAACAGAGATGTTGGCTGTCATGTGAAACAGAAAAGATGACTGTAATGTGGAACAGAAAAGATAGCTGTAATGTGAAACTGAGAAGTTGGCTGTAATGTGAAACTGAAAAGATGGCTGAAATGTCACACAGAAAAGATGGCTGTAATGTGAAACAGAGAAGTTGGCTGTATTGTGAAACAGAGAAGTTGGCTGTAATGTGAAACAGAAAAGTTGGCTCTAATGAGAACCAGAAAAGCTGGCTGTAATGTCAAATAGAAAACTTGGCTGTTATGTGAAACAGAAAACTTGGCTCTAATAAGAAACAAGAAAAGTTGGCTCTAATGTGAAACAGAGAAGTTGGCTCTAATGTGAAACAGAAAGGTTGGCAGTAATGTCACACAGAAAAGTTGACTGCTAAATGTCTAAGAGAAAAGCATACAAAATCATTGCAAAAACATGAGAATATTTTTTTCACTGTCAAATTTGCAGATAATTTTCTTCATTTAGTGAACTAAGTTTGTTAGCTGATATTAAGTTAGTTGCCCAATACATATACTTACATAAAAAGGGCTAAAAGAAAACCACATAGAACAGAAAAGTAATGTTACTCCACAACAAATGTACAAAAATGTTCAACATAAAAAAATGCTTTTATATTTCATTGTTGGAAAAAGAAATGCATATATTTTTTAACTTGAAACTTGAAAACTTGATTTAACGCCTATTTCTACATATAGAATACATATTCAATGGCGTTGTACAGCTGTATACCTTAGGGGGCAGGGGACCTAAAAATGAAAAATTTTGTATTTCAGTGTGACCAGAAACACAATTCCAAATATTTCAAAATCTGTTTCACAGGCAGATATAAACCAGTTGCACAGCATTATTCAATGATATATAACATTCATTGAAGAAAATAATAGTTTGCATGCATTGCTCCTTCAAAAAATGACTGACAGCAATTTATATTTACCCCACCCAGCCAAAATCACACCTAAAATATACCAATATAGGCAATCTTCATGAAGGTGCAGCATACTCCAGAATCCGCCCGATTCCTTTAAAAATATCAGTAACACCCAGTGCAAGCTATGGCATTTTCAGAAATGACAAATAAAATGTCTGTCATACGTTTAGATTTTTCACAAAATTTATCTGAAGTTTCTTACTTGTTTGGCGCCAACTGTCAAAGCTTGATTTTTAACTTTTTCACCTCCATTCGGAGTCAGAAATACATACAAAGCTACCAAAATGCTTAGTTTCGGGTAAAAACCCAAAAATATATCTCATTTCCTACACACAAACAAGAAAGAATTACAATGACAGAGAAATAACAGAAGTTATCAGTACCTTCAAAACACCATGTCTGAGTTATTAAAAAATTTGACCGGGGCCATCATTCGAATATGTCCCCTGCCCCCTTATATATACATATATTTGTGAAACATGTATGCCCAACTTACAGAAACAAAAAAGCATGACCCCAAAAATCAAAAAGGTTCATGACCAACCAATCTGGCTCTTGGCCAAATGAGGCCTTTTCTACTTACTGATTTGACAAACATTATATCTTCAAGACCATAGTGATCTTGACCTTTTACTGCCAAAAATTGGGGGAAAATATTACATGTATCAGGCTTTTTTGGATGAGAAATGAGGCCTTATTTAAGCCTCTTGTAATAGGGTGAAAATGCCCTGAAAAGCTATGGTTAACTTTAACTACTACATAATTATTTCCTTGCAACTCAGGACAACTTCAACATTTGTGACTCAATGAAACCCTGACATCAAAATAAGTCATCGACAAACACAATCGTTTATGTTATTAAGTATTAAAAATTTTCCTTGAAGTTAATGTAAGTTTAATTACTTTACGGAAAACTTTATGACATGTGGGAGAGACAGTTTCTGTACACTTATGAAAGATGACTAAATTAATTTCAAGTGAATGAAATTGCTGAACATAATTATCCATTTAAAATAAAGGTAAGTCTTGGCATAAACAAAATATTAGTCACCTGACACAAGCATCTATCCATTTTTTCTAGGGGTGTCTTTTTTATCTGTTTTAACGGGTTGGGTCAGTTTTTAGCCTAAAACCGAATAGAAATTTCAATATCCAGTCTAACTGAGTTTGGCTAAACCTTAAAATTTTTAGATTGATTTTAAATGTTTTAAATGTTACATATGTTTCTTTATGTCAAGATATGACATTTTAATTTTAAATCTAGTTTTTTCCGATTGCATGCTATTTTATCTTGTACAGTACGGTCTTAACTGACAACAGTTACTCTCAATAATAGGATATGTTTTGTAATCATTGTTGAATACAACAAAATGCACACAAAATGTGCTAACTTAATAGTCAATAATAAATGAGCCGCGTCACGACAAAACCAACATAGTGGGTTTGCGACCAGCATGGATCCAGACCAGCCTGCGCATCCGCGCAGTCTGATCAGGATCCATGCTGTTCAGTTATCAACTCTATTACAAGTAGAGAAACTGATAGCGAACAGCATGGATCCTGATCAGACTGCGCGGATGCGCAGGCTGGTCTGGATCCATGCTGGCCGCAAACCCATTATGTTGGTTTTGTCATGATGCGGCTCAAATAGTTAATATTAGTTATAAAAAACTTCTTTAACTACGGTAATTTTAAACGTTTAACATAGTTATACAGTTGGCGTTTAAATCATTAACATTTTTGCTAACTGTGACATCTGTAATTTTTTTTTCAATACTTAGTATGTACTGTAAAATCAAATATTTTCGCAAGGCTAAAATTTCTCAAATTAAAAATTTCAGGAAAATTTTTAGAGGGTATACTTGCAAATTCCTACTTTCGGACATCCTATCAATTTAATTATGTGTACATTTATTTTTAGCAAAAATGTTCAATTTGTGAGGTAAGCAAACTTTAATCCCTCACGAAAAACTTGAGAGAACATTGTGTATTTAACATTAATTTTGTTTCCTAGACCAGCACATTTTGGTATGAAGCCTTTGAGGACAAAAAGAAAAATATTTTAAAATTGCTTAATTATGCTTTACCATGCAGCATTTATCTTTTCTTTGAATAAGCCACTGTCCATTGTAGATTAAATGATGATTATTATTTATAGCCTGTACAGACAAGTAGAAATTTTCAAGAATTTATTATGTAAATATCATACTGCCAATTTCAGAAATGCTTCAGATGAAAACAGACAAGTTAGTCAAAATCAGATTTTAATGGCCCTGTTCAAGATAGAGACTGTCCAGACTACAGCATAGATATATAACTGGCCTGTCTTGAGATGAGTCTTTTTTTTTCGTTCGTTTCAGAGAGGTAATTGTACATTTGTGTAGAAACAGTAACTATTTTTCATTTAAAAGAGGATAAAATATAATAACATTATGTATATAATTATAACAATGCATGAACATAGTCATTTGTTCCATTTCTGATACCAAACAATACACATGCACTGAAATTTCATGCTTAATAATGCATGGTATCACAATAATATATCTGACAAAGGTATCATAAGCCAGAAGTACTTGGGTATTTATAAAACCATTCATTTTGTAAACAATTCATTATGTGTATGTTTTTGTATACATCTTGGGATCCAGTTTTTTTAAAAAGCATTTGAATGATGCAAATACATATATTTTACCAAAATTAATAATGATTCTGTTACAGTGTATATACATATGAAATGACCAGATGTAAACAAAGAACAATATATACTAAACTGTTCTCATTGGTCAATTACAGAGCTGAATTTTATTAATAAAAAAAAAAGAGTTTGAATTATCTCCCCTGCCGCTCTGACTCATATTAAATGTGTTGAATAACTTTGAATATTAAATAAGCTTTTCTTATGCATAGCCACTCCTTAAACTACATATGTGAACTCTATATCTATATAATATTGATACACTGACCTGATTATCCTTTAACTGAAGTAAGTAAAATATACATCACAGGTTTTTTTTCCAGGATTTTGGGAACATGACCCATACCCATGAAATAGGGAATTTAAGCAATGTTTTGTTAAAAATTGGGAAAATTTATGAAATTGACTTAAATGACAGGAGGGTCCTATTAATAGATGACTTAAATTTTGCAGTGATTAAATAAATGCAAAGAATCTTTGTCTAGGATGGCATCTTCAAACATTTAAACTACCATAACAGTGAAGAAGCCCTTATTTTCTAAGATTAAAGGATTTTTTATTCAATATTTCTATTTTGTAACTTTCAATTGGGAATTTTTTCATGTGGATTGGGAAAATAATATACTTATTTTAATTGGGAATATGACCAAATATCGGCTATAAAATAAGCCAAAAAAAATCCCTGAATTAATCGGGATATAAATGTGGTATATACTTACACCAGAATGAATATACTGTCTCCCAGCAACACTCGTCATTGTATAATCCACAACAATATGCTCCGGATCCTGAAAGTATACAGTTGATATTTATAGAATTGATACTACATCTAAATCTTATACTAAAAAAAATCCTTTATGTTGTGTACTGTCAGAGATTTTTCATTATAATAACTTGTGAAATTTTCAAAGATTTTCAGTAAGAACAGCATGAATGTTCATGTTTTTATTTTATGTATAAAACCTGTCGACAACAAAAAATAAACAAAGCTATCAATGAAATCGTTTGACTTTTTCATGACTTTCTGTTACCTTAAATCAAAACATGAATTATGTTTTTATATAAGTACAGTACCATGAAACACTATCAGAAATACGTCCCTTTTATCCACCATTAGTACTAAATCATGCAAGTATACACTTTAAGGGTTCTTTGAAGGTGTTTTAAACTTCTATTTTCCAAATGGTTGGGTTGGTTGATTTCCAACCACAACCACTTGCCCGTCTCCACTGTGGGTTCAAATCCTGATAGGGACTTTGGATTCTTTCAGATGAACAAGCTATCAAGCTAGCTTACAGGTTGTCGGTGGTTCTACTCAGGTGCTCATTTGTGCCAGACATATGATTGGAAGGGCACCTGAGGTCTTTCTCTACCAATGAAGCTGGAAAGTCACCATGTGACCTATACTGTATTGGTACAATGTAAAACCAAGCCCCCCCCCCCCCCCCCCCCCCCCAAAAAAAAACAACAACAAAAAACAAATAAACAACATTTATAAAAGAACTGTTGATAGTTGTTTATTGAAGATTTATTAAATCTTACACTGTATTAACCCTTAGCCTGATCTAGGTAACTGAATATATCCATGCAACCAGTGCAGACCAAGATCAGCTCCCACAATTGTGCCTGCCCGATCATAAACTGCACTGTTGGCTATTTAATCATTATTTTGAAATTTTACCTATAACTAATTAATGGTTTTGTCCAGATTAAAAGATAGACAAGTCCATTAAGATATTTAGGGTGGTAAGGGTTAATCTATTCTATATTTATATAAATGATAAAAATGTTAAGCTTACCGTAACACTGTGTTGGTACAGCTGAATTCCCACATGATATGTATCCCTGGAAAATAATTGGAACATTATATGAAAAGTTCAAGTTCACTTCATTTTATACAGGGTAGATGTAAAATATACAAAATACCTCTTTCATAGGAGGTAACCGTGTTATCTATAAGTGTACCTTCGATATATACAATGTAGAACCTGTATATAATGATTTTATAAAATTTTGAAAGATGAGAGATATCTATGGTTATGTTTATAAGATAGATCAAAGTCTTTTTGAAAAAAAAAATCAATTGTTATGCAATACTTTTGGTAAAAATTTAAATGCTCTGAACTAAAAACCTTTTACTGAGCCCCTGTAGTAACCACATTTTTTTTTTATTAATTTAAAATGAAAAATAGACAATTTTAAATTTCAATTCTTTATTTCCATGATTAATATTTGATTTTCTTTTTCCAAGGCGGTCAAGGATAGCCTGCAAAATGTGCAAGGCACTTATTTCCAGTAGGGTCCTCAAATCAGCAAACACAGAGACAGCTATGAAGATATTAAGGTGAATCTGGGAAGCAGTCCCTAGCTCTTATATTGAATAGATCATTGGTTCTTTTTATATTCCCAGTGTATAGCACTGATACATGCGTGGATTAGCTGGGTTTCGTACCAGTATATCTCTAGGTAGGTGGGAAACACTGATAGTGTTTCTGTAAAATCCCAAGGGTGTAACTCAGGATCGAACCTGGAACCTCAGGAGTGACAGTCAGTGGTCTAACCAACTGAGCTATCGCACCACCTATACGTTTCTTCTTAGTTTTAAAATATGTGTCTTGTAAGAGAAACATTAGTTTGAAACATATTATGTTAAAATCAAAATGTTACATAACCATCAATTATAAATCATTGAAAATCTATCATAATTTATATAGTAATTTACTTAACCCATTACTGCATGAGCATTTTGTGAAAAAATGACTGTTTCCTTGAAAAGCCTCCTGTTACAAGTTCAAATTGCTATGAAACTATAAAAGATGCTTCAATATTCATCATTAACTTGGCACAAATGTTGACAGGACCATAGTCTTTGTAACGGCATACTTAATCTTAAATTTCTGTTACCATGGTAATGAGGGGAATCTCAAAATTGCATTGCCAAAAATCACTATTTTACGTTAATTTTTTTCCTCCCAAACTGATTAAAAAGCGCTGCAAATTCTTCATGAATTGAGACAGAGTCAAAGGCTTTTCAGCATTGGTTACACATTAATTTCCTTAGAATTTAGGCAGAATTCAGGCATTTTTGGAACTGTCAATATTTAACAGTTCCAAGACAAAACAAGGTTATTTGGTTTAGATATTTTATCTATGTTTCTAGAACACTTAACAAATGGCATAATCTGTTAAAGATTTCAAAAATTATTTCTAGCTAAATTTTTATGGCAACATAAACAGGATAAAGTTGAAGATAAAGAATAATTTTTAATGTCGCGAAATCACATGACAAAAATAAAAGAAATTGTACTTTACAATTACAATAATTGTTTGACATTTCACCTCTAATAAATGCACTAGTTTTACTCACCTCGACAGAAACAACAGTTAGTACTACTAAAAGCACAATGACTTCGTTAAGAATCATTGTGTACTGTAAGTGTATTCTCTCTCCAACGGAAATGTGAAATGTAAATTTATTTGTTGACACTCGTGACTTCCGGACACAAACATGTCATGTGACAGCCAGAAATAATTGCATTGAGTTTATAGATTTTGTAAATTTCAGAGTGTACAACCGTCTCTGTGGCGCAATCGGTTAGCGCGTTCGGCTGTTAACCGAAAGGTTGGTGGTTCAAGCCCACCCAGGGACGTTTCATTTTTTTTGGCATTACATACTTTTTAAGTTTTAACCTGATGTTATTTGATAAAACAAATCTTCAACGTAACGTTAATGAAGACTCATTGTTCTTTAACGTGAAAGGTGTAAATAAATTCTTCAAATAACATTAATTTTGTTATTTGAAAGGCACGTTTTTGACCATATTTATTACACGACAAAAGTAATCATATGAAAAAAAAACAAACAAAAAACAGATAGTTAACGAATTTATAAATGACACTAGTCTCCATTAAGTTTATTTATCATGAAACATTGTACATGTATATACGTATATTGTATCTTACATAAGTCGTAAAAAATATTTTCAAGAGTCATAAACTCGCTTCATAAAACATTTTTTTAAGTTAACCACATGACAACGAATGTGCCATTCACATGAAATCAATTAAAATAAACAGGTTTTGATGTTTTACATCCCTTTTGTACATAATGTTATTAGGCAGGTTTATACTTTGCTAATGTTATATTACACGTGCGCTTCACGTACGTACACGTGTGTCTAAATTGTAATGATTAATTTATATTACATGGAAAACAGAAGACTCTACGTGCTATTATATATGAGGTTCTAATTCTTTGAGTACGATACTGAGTTCGGTGTCAATTACTGCTTTCGAAAAAGAGTGATCCAAAAGGTGCCTGATCACTTGTGAATAGTTTAAGCCAATATCCGAGATGAACAAGTTTGTAAAAGATCTATAAAATGAAACACATGTTTTAACAGCAGTATACATTGATATGATTGCCTTCACAACTTTACAACTTACATTTTCTAACAAAATTTTTAATTTGAATTCATACATTACGGTGAGGAACAAAACATCTGCAAAATTAACTGTTTTCAAACACCAACAATATACATGTGCATGTCTCAAGATCTAAATGATTTCTATGTGTGTTATGTGTAAATTTATGCATTTAAAGTCATATATCCACATACTGCCAGTTTTCAATCACAACCACTTTTCAATCATCCCTAGAAATTCTTTATTTTTTACCTTATTTGTCATGTAACCAAACTGTAAGCACATTTTGTATTCACATTGACTACATTTATCAACAGCAATGTCAATTATGGCGATAAAAAAGAAAATACCAGTATTTTAGTTCAAAATATGTAAAAAGTTTGTTTTCCACTAATCCTTTATTTACCCAGTTACAAATCGCAATAATTTTCTAAAGATAATTGATTTACAGACTCAGTTTTTTGTCATTTTTGCAGAAATGGATATTAAGTTGGACAACTGTTTCACTATCATAAAGTCATAACGTATACTGCACTTCAAAAGCTATAATTTTAATATGTACATATTTTATTTTTACCATACAATTCTAGAATGGGGTCATACAGACCCTATGATCGTAAAAATTTCACAAGAACATGCTTTTTCTGTTACGCAAATTTAGATGTACATCCATACCCCAATTGTGACAGCTTTACCACTGCAAATAGATATCAAGATTGAAAAATGGCATTATAATTAGGTTAAAATTGTTTATTACCATTTATCTGAAGTTGAGTTTGTCAACATTTCTCCAAAATACATAACTGATTATGTTTTGACATTGTATGACAATTTTGATGTGGTACAGTTTATATTTTGTTAACTGATTGAAAAGTGGTTGTGAAATTTTGAAGAACAGGAAAATGGGTCTGTAATGATTTGTCATTGATTCATAATAATAATTCAGGTAAAATTTTATAAAGTTGTTGCCTTTATTAGCTGAAATGATAATATTTGCAGAATTGTTAGAGAAATATTTTTTTTTATAATTTCACTGTCAGTTATTGTAGAAAAATCTGTTAGCTGATCGGAAAGTGGCAGTACGGGGATAATTGAAAAGTTTGCAAAAAATACCATAATGGTAAACTAATGTGATGGACCAAAATAAAATGGAAGTTTTAAATGCTATAAAACTGTTTTAAAAAGTTGAAAACTTCCCATGGAATGACTTACTTCGTTATCGGATATCCACGGCCGAACCTGGCCAGCCCGCATAGCTCAATCGGTTAGAGCGCGAGACTTAATTGTAATCTCCATATTGTGGGTTCGATTCTCGGGCTGGCCAACTAAAATTACTTATCAGTCTTTCGGGTGAGACTTTAAATCGAGGTCCAGTGTATGAGTGCTTAGACACTTGGCAGCTAAAGAACCAGGAGAAGCTTCTGGAATTAGGGCATCTTTCTATATCTGTAATTGCACTATCCTCAAAAAATCTAAAATGACTAATACTCTTCTGAAGGACTCGCCCATATGGACAACCGGTTGCGAGTATAATTAAACGCAAATACACACACGACCGAACCATTACCATTTATCACATGTTATGTTACATGCTAATAAACAGTGGGTATCCGACGATGGACGTACTTTGATTTTCACATATGAGATTATAATGCACATCTGGATCAGCAGAAAGTCACATATATGTATATCTTTACCGATTTAAAATTCATATGAAGATCATCCTAACCCACAACCCGTGTTTAGTACTCACTTTTAACTAATAATACATTATAGCAAATCAATATCATGGAAAAGATTACCTATTGTTATGTACCAGTACAAGTAATAATCACCGCTGTGAGTTCAAATCCGGACAGGGACTTTGGATTATTTCATGTGAGGAAGCTATCCAGATAGCTTACGGAACGTCGGTGGATCTACTTAGGTGCCCGTTCGTGCCTGAAATATTGCACGGAAGGGCACCTGAGGCCTTCCTCCACCAGTAAAGCTGGAACGTCGCGATATGACCTATACTGTGTCGATGTGACGTAAAACCCGAAACAAACAAACAAGGACAAGTTGTATAATTCAACTTGTATTCACAAACGCTTGGGGTCAGACAGTAACCCCTTCTTGCTCAGGCTTTGTAAATTCTTAGTAACTTTTATAATTTGAACACGAGAGGGACATTTTTTCAGTCAATAAATGGTTTCAAAACAAGTTTTATGATTAAGATGGATGTCCCATCTGTGTTAAAATGATTTTTTTAAGTTGACTGGGGCGGAGTGAAGCCGGGGGCTGGGTCTGACCGCCAAGTGTCTGTGGTTGAATAAGTTTATATCACTGTTTTGTTATAAATGTTACAATATGAGGTTACTCTAGGTATGCGTTGATGAGTACAATATAGCTACTTATTAACTGGTCGAGATTCTAGCCGAGTCCAGTATTGGCTGTGTACGAGCCCAATATAATCAGTATTGTACTCAACAATGTATACAATGAGCAGCAAATTTTTCAATTTAGTTTCAATTACATCTATTAGGCGATGGATGATATAGTGTTTAATTTCACATCTTTTAAAATATAATCAATGAATAAAGACTATCTTTCTTCTAATACCTGTAAATCATTATTGGAGCAAATATCAATTAAGCCTCGTTTTCATTTTGATTGTCCAAAAATCTCATATCATATCAAATCCTTATTGTACTCGATGTTATAAAGTTCTGACATGTGCAAAACAATGGATGAATTGGATGGCGGAAAAAAAGATGTCACGTCACTCGTACACAGCTGCAAAACAGCTGTTTGACAGCTGTGTACTCGTCCAATATAACTTCATTCTGAAAAATGTATAACTTCAGATCACGCATTTTTTTGAATATAAAAGGGAGATAACTCGAACAAGGATAATTATCAACGACAATCAGAGTTACTTTGAGTACAGTATGTATTTGATATATAGATATTTGCCCGGGAAATGAAAAAATGGAATTAGATGGAGTGCAATATAAATTTGATATGGATTGTTAAGGACTCGTAAAATAAAAACAATGCTAAGCTGCTTAGATTGAATCAAATAATGGTTTATATTGGAAGATCACGTGGTGCAAACGCTTTAAGTTGATCGGTTACATTTTATGTTTGAAATAAAGATGTATGTTTATTACAGTGCACATTGAAATACGCCAGTCATGCCCTACGCTGTATAATGATATTAAATAATATCGTATTAAACACAGATGTCGGCCATATGAACAGCTTTCGTTAAGATAGTGTCGATATTCAATTAAAAACCTTCCAAGATATGTACACAATTTTTATCTTTAAAATACAGCTGAAAATAAATATCGTTTGCAGTGGGTACATACTATTTAAGATAAACTTGGAAAAAGAAAAAGAGAAGTTTAATAATTATCTGCTCTACAGAAGAATGTGTGCTAGCTTACGAATATATACACCGGGTTGTTAAAAGCGTCCGCTAGTGTTATATTGGATTTTATACACACAGTGGTGCAAACTAGTAAAGTTTTAAACAACGAAATACTTTGTATACTTCCGGGTGTGTTGAAAATGACCTAGTATATACATGTTATTTGGAGATAAAATGAAAATTATGTGTCGGAGACACTGTATTAGATATGTTTTTACTTTCATGACGATGTGCTTTGTTGTAGGTATGTACATGGCAGCTATTAAACATAATATGGATGTACACAAACAATTTCACATTAAAAGACTTAAAGTGAAAAGGGATGTACATGTACATTCGCGCGTGCACGAATTCCGGCAACGAATGACTAATTTGAAGCCAATTAAGGAACCACCCCACGTGGATAAAGACAAAAATTCGTTCAAAAGAGAAGATAATGATAGTTTACATGTACATATTGTAGAGGAACACCATGAAGGTAAGGGTATCACGTGATTACACCTTTCATATACTAAATTTACAGTAAGTTCAATAAAAAGTTAAGATCGGTTCAAGATGCATGTATCAGCTTTTAAAGATATAAACTCTCTTTTAATACATTCCTTTCATGACGATGTGTCTTGTTGTAGGTATGTACATGGCAGCTATTTACAGAGTTTGAAAGAAATCTAAATATAGATATACACATAAAAGTTTTATTTTATCCTCAGGCTGGCCTAATTTACGTTATGGTCTGGAAATTAGATTAGATTGAATTTAGATTTGTCTCTAAAAAGTTTCACACTGCCCAAAATTATACCTTTACTAAATATTATAAAGATTAATCAGAGAGCACCGACATCATTATTTCTAACGTTCAGAGAATTAATCATGATTGACGCATTCATCTGAAAATATTAATCCTCAAAGTGCTAACAGCAATAATTTAATGACATGTTTGTGCCACCAGGAAATAGCCAGACAAGCCCGCCTGGGGGTCCCACGCCTACCTTACACCGCCCCTGTCTACACTCAGTCAGTAAATTAACATTTTAATTCGAATTTGGCATAAGTCTTGATAATAAAACTTTAAGAATTAAAATTAAAAAAAAATATCCCATCCTCCAGAAAGTTGGAGTCTTGACTGATGTCCTATATTCGTGTCAAAATAGGTCCTTTCGATTCTATTTGAAAGAACCTGGTCAAAATGATAAAAGTTACAGAGTGAGAGTTTGTAGGTGCGATGCAAGATGAGACCAGGGCGTGACCCCCACCCTACTGTACAGTTAGCGTTCTAAATTTCACTATTTTAATACTGAACTCCCTTAAACTAATGATGAACTGTTCCCAATTAAACACAAGACAAGTCAATTTTAACAAATTTAGCAAAGGAATGTGTGTAATGGTTTGAAATTACATATATTTTGATATGCTTGAATCATCACATGCAAACTCTAGTCTGCCATGACGTCTGTAATAATAATTTCAGACGTATTAATTTCATGTTAGGCATTTGGGTAGTTTCATTTTAAACACACACTTTGTAAATGTGCAATTTATTAGTCAAATAAATGTATAGTACTCTGATATTTAATTATTTCAAGTATAATAGTAGAAGTGTTAATACATTTTGGCGTATTTTAATAGAATGTTTTTATTGCCAATACGTCGCAAAAATATGGTCTATTTATTTTATACGTTTTACTTTCGAATGTGAGATTACGGTTGAATAAGCTTTAATTGATACGTGTACAAATTTAACAAATATATTGTATTTCAAATCTAAGTATATACAGTGGAAGATAATGATTAGAAACATGACTTTGAAAAAATACACCATTTTTCAGTAAGGTAAAACTAAAAAGATACGAATTTTTAATTCAACAATTAAAAGTTATTCACAGGCATCTGTGAGTGAAACCATTTCCATTACACCCCTGGTGCCTGACGTATCTCAAATGATAGTACATGTATAATACTTTACATGTCTGCTTTGATGCCTTGCAAAAAACAAAAACAAAACAATTCCCTAAACCAACAACAATAATAACAACAACAACAACCGATACATTTCTTCATTATTGCACATGGAATATTGTAGTAATTTACTGAAGAAGCGGATTAAGATACATTTTAAAGTAGAATGAACTAAACAATAAAGATTAAACATAAATCTATCTCCATAGAAACAAAACAGCTGTTATACAATTTGCTAATGCGTATATATACAATAAAGAAAGATGGAGATGAAACCTGACAGCTGTGACATGGCCGCCGCAGCCGGGTAAAAATCACGATCATTTCTTACATTTGCTGTTAAACGCACCTGGTACATTGTTCCTGATTAAAATCATTCTTCAACAACAGTTTTCTGATGCCTGTCTTCAACCGTCAAGTAAAAACACGTGCTGCAGGTAACTTCTGGATAAATAAATAAATAAACAAACAAACAAACAAACAAACAAACAAACAAACAAACAAACAAATAAATAAATAAATAAATAAATAAATAAATAAATAAATAAATCACTTACTGCGATGAATGAATGAATGAATGAATGAATGAATGAATGAATGAATGAATGAATGAATGAATGAATGAATGAATGAAATAGTCAACATATTTAATGCTGCCTAGCATTTTCTTACGATTTTAGTATTCATAAAAACATTATAATTTATCAATACAAGTGCATGAGTAAAAAGGTTCATTGGTATTTGTTGAAAACAAAATATTTAGCTATTAAATGTCCGAGACAAAATGTTGTTTTTTAACGTCTTAAAATATTTACATTATATTCTATACACATGGACCAGCTTCATTTATCACAGATATAAACTATGTGTAATGAAATATTTTATATATATCATTTACAAACAATTACTGTGGAATCATTTCGTTTCTATAATCTTGAATATCTCTGTATATATTTATCTCTTGTCTGCATATTATAGAGAATAAAATGTTCATATTATCCTACTACTTTAAGATGTTCGTGAAGTTGGCAGCCTAGCAGCCTGGCAGCCTAGCAGCCTGAAGTTGGCAGCCTAGCAGCTGCCACCTTAAGTAGATTTAATGGGATTCTGTGCATGCATCATTCCCTCTAAGGGGAAAATACTCTGGATTTTCATAGATGTATTTTCGACTTTCTTTTTTCAAAAAATTATCTTTGTAAACTACAGTCTACACATATGAAGCTTTATACATTCACTCAATAGTAAATCACTTAATTTTTCCTCTATTACGTAAAAATGCACCAGGTTCCTCTGCACGTGCACATATTCATGTACAAAGTGCACAAAATTTTCTCTGCACGAGCTCCGCCTGTTACCATTAGTGATTTTCAAGCTGAGTTTATTTAAACGGAAGTGATTCATGACATCTATGAATAAAATATAACATTTTATTGCAATATCAAGTTTAATGTATGGTATCAAATTAGAAGTGTAAACCTCGTGCATCTGAAGCGCAATTAATGATTCCAGGAAAGAGTTTATCATAGTTTTGCATTCGTTTATTAATATACCTACAAAAAGCACCCTAGCTGCCAGGCATACATTTTGTTGAAGTGACTATCAATGTTTTGTTTTATCTCGACTAATCGAAGAATAGGGAGAACTATTGTACTTGTTCCGGCGTCAAAGTCAGACTTTGGTAAAGTTTTTGCGTGCAAATTGGTATCTCAGAAACTCTTGAATGGAATGGGTTAAAACTTCACGTGATACAGGAGTTCCTGTCCAAGACCCATAACTGGATATTGAATAACATAATGTTAATAACATAATATTGAATTTGACACAGAATTATTGCGCCTTTGAACTTAAAAAATTCCACATTAAACGGGATTTTATTTTACCAGTCGAACACACCGTCCCTCCAACAGCTCTTGTTTTATTATACACCAGGAAAACAGTAAAGCAAATTTGTCCTGAAACAAGCGGCTATCTTGGCATTGTATTTTATGTCCCAGACATTAGTTATATGTTTTACATCATTATACTTTTGAAAAACAACAACAACAACAACAAAAAACAAGAACAGGAAAAAAAGAGATTTGCATTAAGAAATGTTAAATCATAAGACAGCTTTAAGTGGTATGTGATGTATATTGTAGAAAAGTTCTTACTGAAATCAAACGAACATGATTTTAGTTTTAAGAAACGCTTTCTTTATTACCATATACTATTATGTATCTGCATTATATGTCTTGATAACAGATATTGTACACGGTATCGTGATCTTTATATATTTTTATTTAGATGTATATTGATGATTATTGATCGGGGTATAAGCAACATTAACATTCGGAGAGAAGATATTTTCGGCACTTTGTATTTTTACAATATATAGTTACACAAATGGAAACGCTTTCATCAAAGAGCGATTAATGCCACAAACATGAAATAGCACTTATAGCTTTCTATGTATCTATTTCTTTATGAATAGGCTGCTATAATTTTTCATAAACAAGGCACAGACTTATATGTTTGTTTGCATAGTAAGCGCAGACAACATGCAAATGTTATATGGAATTTAAATAGGTTCATAAAATATTTACTCGTTTATTCAAAAGAGTCTAATGGTCAGTAGGCATAAAATAATGCACATGATAGGAAAATCGGAATAATGAGCCAGTAAAGGCGTTCCATACACAGTGTTCTTCTAAAATTGTTATAGTTACATACTTATATACATTGTACAAACATAATGGATAAGGTATTATCTGATCAAAAAAAGAGGAACAAGACAATAAAGACAAAAGGACAAAAAAGTTCATTTTCAAGCCTTTTCTCATTTGAGAAAAACTCTATTTATTTATCTCAAACAGTTATTTTCCTTCTTCCCTGTTTTCAACTTATTTTGAAACGTGTTGTTCTTGAATTTAACCCTTAAAGTGAATTAGTCTATTTTGGAAGGTCTGATATACAATAAAATATTACGTTGATAGTATTTAGTATCAGACGTAAATGAACTACATTTGAGCCGCGTCACGACAAAACAACATAATGGGTTTGCGACCAGCATGGATCCAGACCAGACTGCGCATCCGCGCAGTCTGATCAGGATCCATGCTGCTCTACTTGTAATAGAGTTGGTAAGCGAACAGCATGGATCCTGATCAGACTGCGCGGATGCGCAGGCTGGTCTGGATCCATGCTGGTCGCAAACCCATTATGTTGGTTTTGTCCTGACGCGGCTCATTGGTATCAACTGATATTACATATCTATATAGCAGATAAAAATGTTCTAGAACAAAATATTTTTTATTATTAATCATGTAAATGTTCATAACAAAGCACTTAGAACTTTATCATCATTTTTGTGTCGCCTCTACGGAGTAGTGGCGACATATAGGGATCACTTCTCCGCCGTCTGTCTGTCCGTCTGTCTGTCTGTCTGTCTGTCTGTCTGTCTGTCCATCCGTCCGTCACAAAACTTGTCCGGACTACTGCTCATAAACTACTGGTGCAATTTCATCCAAACTTTACAGGAATGAT